ACCAAGGCCCTGTGGGCAATTATCAAAATAAACAAACCCCATAACACTATGGCCTATTGCAGCTAAACAGTCAGCACACTGATTAACCATCTATTAAATAGTAGTTACATCTAACATATATAATATTATGATCAACCCTTAATAAGATTTGATTTTTTTATTAATTTTCTTTACACTTTCTTACTAAAGATTTGACTTGAGTTTACTTTAATATGTTTCCAATTTTATAGCATTAGGGTTACAATTTATTTTCTATTTTTATAAATAGCAAAAAAAAAAAAAAAAAAAGAGAGAGAGAGAAGGAATAAGAAGAGGTACGACACCGTTACTATTTATTTCCTTAATGAACTTTTATTCTTTTCATAAAGGTAAATTTACAGCGTTGGTCCTCAATTTTTAAAAATTTTTGTACTTTAGCCCTCTGATTTCATAAATACAATTTGCTCCTCAATCTCACCATTTTATTCATCCTTTAACTTTGTGAAACATTGTGATTTAGTTCCAAATTTATGATTTTGAAAAGTTAAGTCATATTCTACACAAACAAATGGAAATAATGTAAAATCGAAAAAAATCATATTAAATCCATTCAAATATTAATAAAATTAAAGATAAATTAGCATCATATTATGTACAAGAATTCAACCTATTAAGTATTAAAAAAAAGTTAGTAAATTTCTATTGAAATTTTGTTTAGATTTTGTTGGGTTGTTAATACTAGATTTCTCATATCAAAAAGAGAAAAGAAAAAAATAAAAGGAAGTAAAAAGAGGATTATGATTACAATATAGTTGAAGACGACTTTTGAAGGGTACAAGGAGTATCAAAATCCTTGAAACATAAAGGTAACTGAAAAAGAAGCTATGCCACTTATATTTCAGCTTAAAACATTACTAATACAAACAATGGGAGATAGAAGAAAATTAGGGTAAAAAGAGATATATAATAGATAAATAAAGATATAAAGAGTGACTAAACAGGAATAATATAGAACGAAAGATTTTATTGATTAAAAAATCAAAGGAAAGATAAAGGAGATAAAAGAATAATAACACATAAATTACCAATAGAGAGAGACTGTTTTGGTTTTCTTCTTTGATATTTGACTGAAATAATGTAATTTTAAGGTGTTTTTCTTCTTTACTCCCTTTATGGTGTTTGGGTCTTTTCACATTCACTCTTTGTACCACGTTACATGGAAAGTAAAACTTCGCATGCATATGTTTACTTCACGTAGAATTGAATTTTTTAATAACTTAATTGTAAAATTGTTGTCATTATAAATTGAAGTCGCTTCTTGTTCATACTAAAGTTTTGCTAGAACTCTCTTAACCAAACTACTTGACAAACACATGCAATTGTGGCCAATTAATCAACTTCTGAAGTTGATAAAGTGATAATTTGTTGTTTCTTTGATGATGATAAGATAACTATGGAACTCAACATAAAAACAAATCCAAAAGTACTTTTTTAGTCATCAATATCTCTTGCATACTCACATCGATGAAACTATAAATTTTGTTTGATCACTTGTAGAACAATCCATAATCTACAAACAATGCCTTGTAGAGATATCTTAGAATTCTCTTTTCAATGCAACACCTTTAATTTCTCCATATATCTGCTAATCAAACTTACCCCATGAATTATATCTGGTTGATTTGATGTCAAGTGCATCAAGCTTTCAACATTTTGCTTCTATAGAGTGTTGTCAACATTTTTTACCCCCAAGCTCTTTCACAAGCTTCAACTATTAGCTTAAATACCTCAAGAGGAGGGTGAATTAGAGTTTTCAAATTTTTCCACTTCTACCAACCCCAGATGGAAAAAAAGAGAAGGGTAGAAGAGCCTACACAATTAATTTTATAAAGATTCAACCCAGCTGCTTGGCACCTAATTCTCTACCTTAACTTCACTCACCATTAATTTCTTTTACACTCTCCACTAGTACTCAAGAGTAGCTTGAAGGAGCTATCCAATCCTTTTACAAAGTGTTTTCACTCAAACACTGTCCATTACAAAGATACCAATGAACCTTACTTGGTTTTCTCTTAAAGGTTTTACTCACCCTCAAGTACCACTTCTTAGAGCTTTATTAACTTCCAAGATCACAAACAAGGGTAGAAAGAAAGATTATAAATGATATGATCTCTACAAGATCTAATTTGCAAGTGTAAGCTTAAAACTTTTGAAAGGATTTGCAAATCTAAGCACAATTCTTGTTTTTAATTCTTCTAATAAGTGTCTAGAGGCTCCCTAAGATGTTTACCAATCATATTTATAGAGTCAATGTTGAAATTAGTCATTACTAGTCGTTGATAGCTGTTGTATGCACTATAGACACATTTAGTTTCGACAAGTAAATGTTATAGGTTTGATCGTTTAAGCCAGCTTAGCTAAGCTGACTTTGCATCCTCTAACTTTTTGTTTTATTCCAAGCTAGCTGCAAATGTTTAAGCTGGCTTAGTAAATTGGAGTTTGAAAATTTCAATATCTTTAAATATTTTGACCATTGGAGCATTAAATGCATCATCTAAGCCAACTTCAAAACCTAAGCTAACTTAACACTATGCCTTTCTCCAACTTGCGCCAAAGCCGCATTTTTGAAATTTTGGACATCTAAGCTGACTTTAATACTCTAAGCTAGCTCTCCCTGGGCACTTTTCTGCATTTTGAACTTTGCTCTTTCATCTAGCTTTGAGAACCTATATCTTTCTCATTAGAAATCCATTTTAGATATTTTTATACTCTTTAGAAAGCTTGAAATGTCTACTTTCAAATGAACTAACTTTTGAATCAAAACTCTGTGTGTGTGTATATATATATATATTCTTGAATGAATAAATGAATGAATGGAGGTCATTATTGCAATGCATGTAGGCTTGATATTATATGAGCTTTCTTTCTAAAATTCTTTCCTTTGGTCCTACACATTCACACAAAACTCATTAAACTTTTCCAATAGTTTTGTTATCATTGAAAATTATCATAGGAGTTCAACATTAACTCCTTCTCCACCATAGTTGTAACACATAGACAAATCCCACATTGACAAAGAATGGGAGAGATGTTAGGTGTGTAGGTCAACACCTATTTATCTCTATGAGTTTGTCTATCTTGTGCCCTTATTACACATTTTTATCATTAGTCATGCATGAACTTAGGGGTATTATTGGAACAAAAACGCTTAATCTCTTCTTCAAATAGTAACTAGGACAACTGAAAAACACTCATTTATGGAGAGTGGGACAACTAAAAGAAGGCAGAGAGTACTAAAATAGAGAGTTGAAAATATGTAGGAAATGAAGAGTTTTTTTCCTTTTTTGGTAAGAAATATAATTTTAAAAAATAAGGAATACTTTACGCGTTTCTTAAATCGATTTTCATCAAGTGGAAGGAGGTTTTTTTTTTTTTTTTAGGGGGGAGAGGTGGGGCTTTCTCACCGTTATTAACATTGTTGTAATTGTCCTTTGGTTCCTTGCGTCATTAACTAGTTATTTGTTGGATCATGCAGGTCGGATACTACGGGTTGGAAAATTTGAAATCTCTGAGTCCGAGCTTCTTGATGAGGCTATTCTTGAAATTTGGAACAGCAGGAATTCTCGAGAAATCCTGCCTTTCAGAAAGCTTAAATCTTTGGAAGTTTCTGATTATAGTAACTGGAGATACCTTTTAACCCCTTCCATGGCATTGGACCTTGCCAACCTCCAAGATTTAAAAGTCTCAAATTGTGCCACACTGGAGCATGTAATCAAAGGAGATGGAGCTGATGGGTTGTTCCCTAAGCTAAATTCCATCCATTTGGAGTCTTGTTCTAACCTGACAAGTTTCTATGAGGGAAGCAGTATGCTCAAGCTTCCATCTTTGAAAGAAATTACAGTGAATAACTGTGCAGCAATGGTTACGTTTGCCTATTGTTCTTCAAGAGAGCAAGACATTGTAAGTACTGCTGATGGTGGAGGAAGTGAAGAAAGGCATGATATTGCTATTCAACCATTTTTCAACAATAAGGTCAGTTATATTTTATAAATTATTTACTGTACAGACAAATTGTATTTTTTTGCTGATGTTGCTGTTTGAGCTTTCCCTCATACATATCAATCACCCTATATATGAACTATGTTCAAAATAAACAAAGTTTTACCATTAGTTTAAACTATTAAGTTTAGTAATTGTTTTGAGTAAATAGGTATCTAGGTTTTTCTTTATAAAAATTTTTGAGGCAATCTTATACAATTTGCCTGTCTTAAAATCCAAAGTTGATCAACTTCAGCAAACAGCATTGATCGTTGACAAAAATTATGTAAGCCTAAGCAGAGTCGAGTACTGTCACTCCATATATTTAGGCTCATTGTGTGATCGCATATGGTCGTTTCATATTTTGCCTTGTAGTTGTGACCAAATTGTTTCCTTTTTGTTAAAGAAGAAGGAGCTGTTCATTAACTTGATGAATTTTCTTTCAGCTTGAGGTTCTCAACCTGGAGATGTTAAGGCTGCTTGGAAATATTAACATTCAGCAAATTTGGCACAATCGGGTTCCAGAAATGTCTTCTTTTGTTCTAAATCTAATAGAGGTGAAGAGCTGTAATAATTTAAAATATATATTGACATCCTCTATGGTTAAAAACTTAGAGCATCTTGAATGCCTCATTGTAAATAATTGTAAGATGATGGAGGGGGTAATAGTCACAGAAGAAGGATTTGCAGAAGAAGAGACGACCCAGAAGATATTTTTTCCTAATTTGCAAGTCTTGTTCCTTGTTGACCTTCCCAAACTCAAAAGATTCTGTTCTGGAAATTACATTGCATTCCCCTGCCTAACAGGAATTATAATAAATCAGTGTCCTCTGTTGAAGGCGTTCACCTCGAGCCCTGTTATTGGAGACATAGCAGTCAGCATTGAGAAAGCAGAAAAAACCTCTACACTACCTCTCTTTGATGCAAAGGTGATTTCTTCTTATTGTTCTTCCATGTCTTACAATAAGGCTATTGTAATTTCACCTCGTAAAGCCTTTCCATTTTTAATTGTATTCTAAAGTTAAGCTTTTGTCTCTAGCTTTTGTCTCTACATACTCATAAGTTATTATTGCAATCAATAAATTCTTTAGGTGGCAGTCCCTGTGCTAAAGACGCTAGCAATCAGTAGTATGGAGGGCTTGCACAAGATATGGCACAACCAACTCGATGCAGAATCATTTTGCAAACTAAAAAGCCTTTGCGTAATTGGCTGTGAAACACTAGAGAGCATTTTCCCATTTAGTATCCAGGAAAGACTTCAGAGACTAGAAGAACTGTTGATTATAGGATGTGATTCACTAGAAGTGATATTTGAAGCTCAAGGACCTGTTGCTAGTTATTCACAACCTCTGGTAGCCAGTCAGCCAACTTCGGTAGAAACTGAGACCAAGTTGGTACTTCCAAAATTGACAGAACTGAGGCTTGAAATGCTACCCAAGCTCAAGGGTTTCTGCCATTCAAAACATATTACTGAATGCCCATCTCTGATGAAATTGGCGGTGGTTGGATTCCAGCAGCTAGAGATATTTGCTTTAGAATTTCCAAGCTTCCAAAATACAACTAGTGATGAGCAACTTGAGACTCGAGTTCAACAATCTCTTTTCTGGATCAACAAGGTACGAACTCTAAAAAGTTTATTGTAATAGGGAGAAAACCCTTGGGCTTTGTGAGATGCTCTATATTTCTTGTATTCCTTTCTCTGCCACAAATTCAAATCCAGCGATACGCATTAGCCACATAGTAATACTTATTTTTTTCAAAAAATAATTAGTTCTATCTGATTGAATGATTGAGAAAATCAAATTAACCAATTTATATATGGAAGTTTATACAAAAAAGATTAATAAGAAAATTTATTTGTTAATTTTAATTATAATATTTATTCAAAATTTTAAATAAATGAGAATGGATACTGTTGTATATGCTGCCACTGATATTTAATTTAAGGTGATATCTTTGTCTTTGTTAGTCATGTGAATCTCTAATTTTCAGTGGAGACTCAAGGTATGCCTAAGTTGTAATTTGTCCATGATGCACTTTACTTGTTAATGGAAAAGCTTCCTTTTTTTATGAAAGAAAAATTAAACTTAACATTTTTATTTCATTAAAGTTGTTTAGGTTTTTTGGCCTTGAATGGAAATTTTGGTATTTGGTGTTGAAAATTGCACAGGCTAACTTGCTTTCTTCTGGCTGATTTAATCTATTTGTGTGATAAAGTTTCTGGTTTATAAGGTGATTGATCCTATAGATTGTTGTTGTACTCCTTTATAATATAAGTGCCTTTTTTTTGTCGCTAACAACAAAAGTTGTTTTGTTTTTTCAAATTCATAAATTAAGAATACAATTACATATTATTCTAATTAACAACACATGTTCATTTCTCTACATTTTTTAAGTAAAAACTATGCGACTTTTTCAGCTTATATTGGCCTACTATTCACCTTTCCATGTTGTACTTATAACTTGTTAAGTAGAACATGTTTTACTGAAGTTATAGTGACAAAAAGAAAATTTGAATATATATTTTGCATAAAATAATGAACAGAGGATTCGCATCAGTTACCATTTTGAATCCCACCTCTTATTTTTTCATTCTAAGAAAAAAACATTATATTTCAAATTTTCAGACTACATTCCCCAATCTAGAAGAACTGGAACTTGGAATGATTGGTAGTCAGATATGGCATGGACAATATGCAGGGGACTTTTTTCCCAAACTAAAAAAATTGGAGCTTAACAACTTGGATGAGCAATCAGTTGTTCCTCCTTTCTTCTTCCGGTCACTCCCCACTATTGAGAATCTTGCTGTGAGGTATGCTTCCTTAGATGAAATAATCCAGTGTGAAGGCTCTGGTGGTGAGGGAAGACCTGCAGGTGCACTCACTCAGTTAAGGGAATTTTTAGTGCCATCCATTATATCTTTGACGAATCTGCAGGCTCTAGAAGTTTCAAGATGTCATGGACTCATAAGTTTAATGAGGTATTCAACAGCTAAAAGCTTGGTGCAGCTCACAAGAATGAGCATAAGTGATTGTGATGTGATAGGAGAAATTGTGGCATGCATTGCTGATGAAGTGAAGGATGGCATTGTCTTCAGGCAGCTCAAGTATTTGCAACTTAAGGGTCTACCAAAGCTAGCAACCTTCTGCTCAGTGGAATGCGACTTCGAGTTTCCATCTTTGGAAGACATAATTGTGATGGACTGTCCTAACATGCAGTTTTTCTCCAAGGGGGAATTACTCACACCAAAACTACAGAAAGTAAAATTGACAGAAGAAGATGATGAAGGGCGCTGGGAAGGGGACCTTAACGCCACTCTACAACAGTTGAAAAAGGTATGTGTATTGATTCCAAAGAATTCCTTTAGTTTTTTGTTTCTTAATTTTTATGTTTCTTTACTTCACCTCGATTATCCTGTTAAAGTACATAAAAATTGATGGAAGTTGTGGTAACTTCATTATATTATTTTTAGTCATAAACATTTATCCTGCCTACAGTTCTTGCTTTCACCTTCAGTTTGTTATTCCTTATGATTACAGAGTATTGATGGCTCTAATGAAGACTGAACTTATGCAAACTGGATTACATCTATGTCTCTAAAGATGTATGTACAAGAGACTTTCTCTCACGTCCTAAACTAAGTCAAATGGTGAGTGGGTCTTGTGCTTCTATATATCACTTCTACCTTTTTACCTTTTTTCCATCCTTCATGAAGTAATATCTTCTTACATGAAACTATGTTGTGATGCCTTGCAGGTTAATGGCGCATTCACAAGCTGGATTTTAATGCTGTCAAGTTGTCACACCGTCCGGCTCAAATAATCACTTCCCTTCCTGAAACTGAACCCTTTTCCCCCCTTAAATCCACGTTTGAACTCGTATTATCTGTGTTTAATTTCTGTGAGGCTGGCTGGTGTGTGTTTTATGGTGTGAAGTAAAAAAGATTGAACTTCATGTGTATCTTCTTTCATAAGACAGATTGTCGTTTGCTTATGGATTATCAACTGAGTTATGCATTAGTTTGTGTTAATAATTTTGAATGTATTTATCAAATGAATGAGCTTTATAGCTAGTAATCTTTTGCTGAGTGTTACAAATGTGCAGATGATGCTTCATACTTGGATCTTTAGATAAGCAGACCTGAAGAAGCTGGTTATTCTCATTTCGTTCATTGGACAATGTTGTGATGATTTTATTAGTGATAGCAGCTTGATATTGCAGTTTTTCAGTCTCTACTCACTAAAAAATGCAGCCTAGGCTGAAAATGAACCTACGGACATTTTTCCATATTCGGATGGTTCAGCTTGCTAACTGCCTCTTCCGTGCCCATCAACTGTTTCTTAAAATGCCATACAGACACTCTGAGACCATATGATTGCAGGTTGATTCTTCTTAGTCCTTCTTTAATCATTATGTATCTATTATGCTTTATTTTCGTTTATCGATTGAATAACAAAATTGAATAATTTGATGGATTACCAGCATCATTGTTAAGATAGGGTTGACAAGAGAGAGAATAAGTTTGTTTGGTTTTCTTCAATTTGCCTTGGCCTTCCCAGCACCTGTCTTCATATCATATACTTTTTTTTTTTACATACCATGTACTCTTTTCATTTAACTGTAATAGTTCTAATTTTTAAGACAAAAATTGTAAAGTAAAAATTTAACATAAAAATTGAATACCAATTGTTAATTTTTTCCTCTTAATTGTAGTTCTTGTTTAGCGATCTATTTAATTGAAAAAAAAAAAATTTTGTTTATATACTATATTAAATTTTCAGAAATATTTTTAAAAAAAATTAAAAAATCGAAAATAAGATTACTATTGTTAAACATAGAGAGTAATACGTTAGAGGTCATGCCACACTTAATATTTTAGTAGTCATCAAAGTAGTCCCTCATTCAAATGGTTGCCAATTTTTTAATAGATGCATCTTATTAATGGTTAAAATAAACTATTAGTCCAATAATTAGGGGCTTCTCCATTAAGCATAACAGAGAATACTAATGGAGAATGGATGGGATAGAGGAAGCAACACCAAAAAAGTTAGGGGAAAAAACGGTTAAGTACTTATTGAAAGTATAATTAAAGAAAAAAAAAGTTAAATACTTAACAAAGCCTACTTAAAGATTGAGTCCCTATTTTCAAAGTTCAATGGTGATTTTAAATAACACAACTTGTAATATTGTTTAACTTTAGTATTTTTAAGATAATTAATTATCTAAAAAATATAATAATTAAACAATAAATATTCCCTTATCATGTACCAAAAGGAAAACAGTAAAAAGAAAAAAGAAAAAAAGAAAAAAAGAAAAAAAGGGTTTTATGGATCAAAGTTTTCTAATCCCAAATCAACTCATAGGAGTGCCAATATCCACATCAACCTGAAAGCAAAGAATTCTTAAAATGTTGAACTCCAAATGGGCTGCTTGACGGGCATTGTCGCGCGGGCCTGTGACCCAAGTGGGCCCAATAAGCTGATGTGGTGAGAGTATTTGATGGGCTCCTAACACTTTGGGTCACGTTACAGAAATGGAGACAAATGGTCGGCTGATGCATTGTTGCGCGTGCAAGTGGTGGGACCTTGGGTTGTATCCTTTTGCATCACTCCCTTGTATTCGGATAGCTCAGCAGCTTGTGCTTATCCTCTTACTTTGGTTCCCATCAACTGTTTGTTGAAATGTCCTACAGATTTTTGGAGCCAAATCGCTCGATGCATTCTTGCGCGTGCAAGTGGTGGGACCTTGGTTGTATCTTTTTGCATCACTCTTCGATCCGGATAGCTCAGCGGCTTGTGCTTATCCTCTTATTTTGGTGCCTATCAAGTATCAACTGTTTGTTGAAATGTTCTACAGAATTTTCGAGCCCAATCTCACGTTTAATTGCGGTTCGGTTTTACTTAATCCTCCTCTTCCTTCATTTACGCGCTGGTGTTTTTAAGACCCCTTACTTACCCTACTGTTCCTACTAGAACCATTCACACAGGCCAACACTCTGAGGAGTCACCCGTAGAAGTCAGAAAAGGTTTTCTCTAGTGCAATTATGCAGGGTCATTATTGCCCTCTGTTCTACCACGTGATTGTGAACAAAGTTCTCATAATTCTGATGAGGCCAGGCTGGAAAGAAATGAAGGCATCAGAATCGAATTTGAATGCAGTACTTCTGCAGAGACAAAGTGGTCCGCCATCTGCTAAGCGTGGGGCCTCCGGATGTATAACTTTGTTGAACACGAAAGACGGGAAGCAGCTCAGCTTTTACTTTTCCTCTTTGCTATCCATCAACTGTTAGCTGTACAAATACTACGAACCAAGTCTGGACAAAAAAATGAGAGGTCGGTTTTACTTTATCCTTCTCTCTAATCTTGCAATTACTTGGACTCTGCTGGTTATTAATATTAAACTGAAATTGGCATATTGGTTTGTTTGTTTGTTCTTTAGATAACAAAATGCATATCAATAGTTGGTTGAAGCATTATTTGTAAAAGAAGATTAGTCAGTGGCTGTTATAATTTTTTAGGGAATAAGTAAATTAAAAGCAGATAATCAGGGATTTAGGAAGTGCCACCGGCACATCAAGGGGAAAGGAGGAATTTTTAAAGCTGGATAATTTTGAATTTACTTTCAGAGGTTAAATTCAATTGATTTTGGCTTTGGAAAGATGGAGAATGAAAAGTGCAAAACAACCCGTAAGCCTGACCAATCGAACTACCAAAAAAAGAATAGTGAATTTTGAAGAATTTATTGCATGGTTGATTGTTATTAATGTATATTTATTGGTTAAATTATTAAAAGCAAGTTAAAATTGATAAACTTCTATAAAAAAAATTCATATTTAAGTCTTGATATTTAATTTTTTTACATTATTAAAAAAAAGAAATACATATTTTTTAAAAAGATAAAAGGAACATATAATCATTTATCCATTAGTTTAGTAGAAAATTAGGTATATTTAGGTTTAGTTATTCCTAATTTCCTAAGCAAGTTTCTTAAATTTATCCCTTTTTTTATAGTTTAACTAAGGTTTCATTTGAGAGTGCTAGATTGTGCTGTGATAGTAGGTTTTTTTATTTTTTATTATCTAAAAATATAAAATATTAATGTAAATTAATAAAATTTATAAAATATTAATTAAAATTAACTAAAAATAATAAATTTACTTTTTTAAAATCAGATGTGTTGTGTGAAAAATATATATAGGAACTTCCTAAAAAAGGCCTAAAATTTCATTTGTATGCACACATCATACAGTTTTAAAGCATTTTAGAACAAGAAATTCTTAAAACTTTTCAAACTTTTCTTTTTTGAACATTAAAACTTTTCAAATTAACTTGTTTGAACCCACTGGCAAAGGTGTACATTTTTCCCGTGGAAAACATTTTTGTTCCTACTTTTTATTTGGACACCTGCTTAGGATTAATCAAATATTTTGCCCCTTGATAATTGATATGACACAAAGGCACCTTCCATGATCAATTTGTTGTTGTGGTAAAGTAATTTGGATATTTATTAATTATTTTAAAATGGTTTAAGAGATTTTTTTTTTCCAGCCCAAATTGTGTAAGAAAGTGCAATCTTAATTATAAAAATATTAAAATATTTTTAATAAAAAATAATTATTTTAATAAATATAAATAAATCTTAACCATTAAAAATAAAAAGATGAATGATTAAAATTTTATATAAATGTAATGTATAAAATTTGTGTGTAAATAGATTCTTACTCATAAATAAAAATTAAGGTAAAATTAGAGCAGAGCTCTTTAATGCTTTGTTAAAAATAGAAATTGACAAATATATTGGGGATATTGCTACCTTAGAAAGTGTGACAATTATGATGGAACACAAAAGATGAGTTATTGTTTTCATTTTATAATTCATAAAGTAATTAGGAATTTTTCTAATATGTGCCTTAAATAAGTTAATAATGCAATTATATCTAAATTTTTATACCAAAACAAATTTGTTATTGTTTGAAAAATATATTATTTTAATCTTTTAATGAAATGGAGTAGTTATGGAGTGTTCTCTTCCTCATTTTTAAAGATTGTGACAAACTCTTTACTCTCAGTTAATATCCAATATATAGCTAAATTTGCTTCATCCATGTCTTTAAATTAAAAATTTTTCGTCGTTCTAGTGACAGAAAATGAAAACTATAGTAGCCATTCCAATAAGCTTTGGTTATTTTATTTTATTTATTTTTTTAATATATTATTTTTTCAAATTTTCAGGCTACATTCCCCAGTCTAGAGGAACTAAAATTGAAGTGCAATGCTAATATTAAGGAGGTGTGGCGTGGACAACGTACAAGGGAGTTTTTTGCCAAATTGAAATCTCTAGAACTCATCAACTATTGCGAGCGATCTGCTTTTCTCCAATCTTTCTTCCTTTCATTACCTAGCCTTGAAAAGCTTGTCGTGAGTGAAACTTCTTGTGATGAATTGTTCCAATCCGAAGAGCTAGGTGGTGAAGAATCACATCATGAATCAGTTTTCTATAACCTCAGAGTTCTAGAAGTGCAGGAATGTAGCAAACTAAAGAATTTAATGCCATCATTCATATATTTCCAGAATCTACATACTCTGGAATTATCAAGATGTCATGGACTCAAGAATTTGATGAGATACTCAACAGCTAAAGGCTTGGTACAACTCACAAAAATGAGTATAAATGATTGTGCTGTGATGGAAGAAATTGTTGCATGCATGGATGATGAAGTGAAGGATGGCATTGTCTTCAAGCATCTCAAGTATTTGCAACTTTGTGGTTTGCATAGACTAGGAAGATTTTGCTCAGGGAATTGCAACTTTGACTTCCCATCTTTGGAAGAAGTAATTGTGATGGGATGTCCAAAGATGCAATTTTTTTTCTATGGGAAAATTAGTGACACCAGAATTGTTGAGTGTTAAATGGATAGATGACGAGGATAATGGGCACTGGGAAGGTGATCTAGACACTACCATTCGGGAGTTATTCGCTCAAAAGGTATGGATGCACTAATTTGAAGTTTATTTGGTCTTCTTTTATTTATTTTTGGTGCAAAAAATAGAAAGTAGAATACGTTAATTATGATCTCTAATCAAAACCTGGTAGTACTAATTTATGAATATTTGATAATCAAATGTTTTTATTAATCAATTAATCGTGTTTAAACTGAAGAAAATCAGATTTTTTTAATTATATATAAAATTTAACTATATATAAAAC